AATCTATTTATATGTAAATAAATAAAATAGTAAATAATGAAACCATGTCAAATAATTTTCTTATTAAAACATTTTACATTTTAATATATTTTATTTTGTTAATTTTTGTGTTACAAACCCATATATTTAGTTGAATATGTATTTTATGATTTATTTAATACTTAAAAATTAATGTATAAAACTATTTATTTTGAAATATTTGCATATTGTAAACAAAAATCTTATAGTCAATGTAATATTTCTGTAATGTATTTTTGAAGTTCATAAAATATGAACATTTTTGTAAATTTTGATTCACTTCTTTATGGTGTTATTTATTATTATTATATTCTTTTTTTTTGCATATTTTCATTTCGAAAATATGACTTATTGGTATTTACGGGTTGAAACTTATGCGGCAAAGCTCGTAAAAAAACTCATCAGACTGCAAAGATGGTGCTAATAAGACAGAAGAGTGAGAGAGTTTGGTGGGAAGTAAAAGTTTTGTGATATTTGTATTTCAGCGAATAATATACGGACGCCCGTTTTAAAATCCATTCGGAATTATTATTTTCTCTCGGGAAGAAAGTTTACGGGCGTGCCAAGACGAATCGACCAAGATGAATATTCATTTCGCGTTAAGATTCCCCCTAAGAACTTTAATTTGAATAAAACATTCATTAACGGGTTTTAAGTCTATTCGTTTTATAATGCGACTAATTTTGACCATATTAATACTTAAATTTTTATTTTTTTTCGATATCCGATCGTTAAAAAAATAATTGGAATATCGTGTGAAACATTACCAATATAAGTACAGGTAATTACATTTCTTGTACTTATCCATGAACTTATGTTCTTATTCTTTACTTAAGTGATGGAGTTAGGTAGTTATAGATTTATTTATAATAGTAATTAACTCAATTTTTATTTGACATAAATGAAATTTGTTTTATAAGTTAATAAAAAATTATTATGATAATTATATATGTGGTTATTTGAATACTCAGTTGCTGTTTTTTATTCGAATAAAATTATTAAGTCACTCTCTATAGATTTATGATTTTCCGTTTATAATTGGGAGCTATAGTTTTTGAATATATATTGGAATTTAAGTTAGTTGAATCATATTTAAATGTTGTAATTATTTATGTGGAATGTGTATACAATATATTGCCGGGGTTGAGTTAAAAAATGGAAACTTTTTTTATCGTAATTAACGTTTGCTATAAACATAAATGAAAATATTCTATTGTAAACATTTATAATATTGTATATGCATTTCAGCTGGGTAAAATTTTCTTTCGTTTAGAAAGTATGTTTATCGTTTATTGGTATATTTTAAGTGTGTAAGCTGCTGCAAAAGTTTTTCCGGCTATAATGGTAATCGTCCTTTTTCTACTCAAACTTTTCCTAATAGTGATCCCATTTTCACCAACAACATTATTTTTTCTGCATAAAATGAATTTTATATGGGAAAAGTTTTAGGGCCTAGTCTATGATGTAACTTATATAGTACGGTCACCAAATATTTATTTTTTTTATTTTCAAGCGTATTTTCAGAATTGATATAAATCATACGTATTCATATTCATAGTTGAATGTTTAAAACTTCGTCCTCTAAACAAATAAAGTGGGTACCTATTCTATTTTTATAAAAATGAAAAATGTAATGTATTTTAATGAATAGTCTTTGTATTCGAGATATTTTGTCGTTCATAATTATACTAATGTTGAATTGAATTTTTATTTTCATTTATATTATTAATATAAAAAATATACTTTAAATACTAAAATGGTTATCAATAATTTATGTTTTGTCTTTATTATCTTTATTATTATCTATATAATAATATCCAATCGTGTTTTTAATGTTTGTTACATTTATTTTATTTTTCTATATACAAAAACATCAGCAGCAAAAGTCATTGGTTAGTATTAATATAATTATAAATAATTTAAATTAATATAAATATATATATTAGTATCTATATGATATAAAATAAAAATTTAAACGTATGGATTTGAAATTTTTATTTCGTTTTTTAGATCTATTATTTATTTATGTTATGTTTATATTGACTATTGAATGTGATTCTTAATATAAATATGTTTATAGACTGAATGTTGTTTATATTTAACCTGATAAATATTTTAATAAAATTTAATTTGCAATTTTTATTTAGATAATAAATGATAAAATCCGGAATTTTATTTACAGAATTCAAAATTTGTAACAAATTTTTGTCCAAGGAATTATAATTTTATTATAATTTATAATTTGTGTATTAATTTCATTAATTAGATAAAGAATGGAGAAGGAGTTAAAATTTGTGTTGGTAAAAACTTTAATACATTATATTTTCAGCAGATGGTAATAATTTGGGAAAATTACTACTTAAAAAAATTTAATTCGAAAACTTTTTACATTCAGATCATTATTTTTTTCTAGATATTTTACTATTATATCGTTAACTATTTTCTTACAATAAATTTTTATATAGTTTTAGATGACAAGGAAATGTAGTCTATTGGTTTAAATTTTAATTTGAAAGGGAAGTTAAAATATTGAAACTATCAGGATCATTAAGTATTGTAATATATTGGAGTCATTAAGTAATTCAAGACTCTTCTGCATTTTAATGTTATTTGTTTTAATAATAATAATTTGTTATTGTTAATTTAAAATAAATAATATTAAACATTAGACAATATGAGTTTATTTTATTCTGTAATATGTGGTTGGAATTTATTTCGAATATCTACACAAAATAATGTATTTGTACTTAAGAATAACGATTTATATATGATTGAATATGAATTGTATCTTAATATTTCGTTTTTGGTTGATGAGATTTCTGGTAAGTTGTTTATTAAAAACAATATGTTATGATATTGTGTATATACATTAAATGATCAATTAACAATTTAGGTATTAATTGATGGTTAATATGTACATGCTTTTTGTGAGTATTGTTTAAATATATTAAATATTTTATTCGAAAGTCGTTTTAGTTTGTTTTACATATAGTTTTTCATATTAAAAGTTATTTACTTATCAAAAGTTGTATTTTGAAACTATGTTATGTTTTTTAATAATTAAAACCCATTGGTGTTTTAAGTAATTATTAAAAATTTATCCTATTGAGATCTACTTTATAGTTACATTATTTCAACATTTTTTATCGTTATACTTTATTTTTTAAAAAAAGTTGAACTTATTTAAGATTATTAAATTGATAAAATTATTGTAATCTTACATATTGATTAGTAAAATTAATTAAATATCTAACAAAAATGTTAAACATTGGTAAAATTTGTTATAACTTTAATACTACATGTCCACATATTAATTTAAATTAATAATAAAAATAAAATAATTAATAATTAAAATTATTAATTTACTTAATAATTAAAAAATTTCAAATAATTAAAATTTTTAATTAAAATCATTCTTGATTCTACAATTGATCAATTATTTATTTAATTTAACTATAATTATTGTAAAATATAATATTTCTTAGCTGTACAATAATTATAAATCTTAAAGTACGGGAAAAGAATGTTTAATAATTTTCTTTCATTCTGTAAGTTTTGGATATGTTACATTCGGATTTTATCCATAAATTGTTGTTTTTGGTATTCTCCATTGGTTTATAATAAATAAAAGTTTATGTGTTTGCATTTTTTTAAAGTTAATAGGAGTTTTTTGTAGTTAATTCTTTATAAATTAATCCCAATAAATTTAAAAATATTATTTTACAAAAAAAAATTCTATACGTATTGTCTTCTGCAATAATATTTTGTGTTTGATATAATTTTTTAAAATTTCGAATGCAATAAACATTTTATATAGAAATTGTAGAATATTATAAAAAATAATATTTAAAACTCATTTGTATTTTATATATTACTTAATTTACATAGTATTTTAATGATAATTTAAACCTATGTTTAAGTTGTTTCAAATATTTATGATAATTTTTAGTAGTTGTATTGAAAGAAAACTTCAATTTTTATAATTTTCTTATTTTTATTATGAATAATATAGAAAAATAGTTATTTACAAAGCTTACATGAGTTTCTGTGAAATTGTAATAACAATTATTTCCCAATAAGATTATGATTACCTACATTGTATTATTCTCTGCGGACAGTGACGTATATAATACATAAAATAATAATGTACATAAAAATGAAATGAATTTTACAATGGGTTTGGAAGTTATCAATATGTTGGTCGAAAATTTTTCTATTTTTAACATGTAAGAAATATATTGATGAAATTTGTAATCTAAAAGAAAGGGAGACACCCTGGTCGATTCTCTTCAGATTGACCATCTATTTTTAAATACTTAACTGTCTATTTTCGAATTACTAATGCCTTTTAAAAAATGATGAACAATTCTTACAAGTATAGTTTTCTTCTTTTTTTTTTTTCAAAATGTCCTTATTAATATTTGTGTTGAGATTGTATATTTATATTAATATTATAATGTTAAAAGTTAATGATATATAATTTAGTTTATCTTAATTAGAATGCGTGTTAAGATGCAACTCAATAATTGGACTTTAAAATATATGTTAAAAAAAAAAAATAATACGTTAACTGTTAATTTGCCGATTGATTTTCGTATTTTCCTATTGTAATCATATTCATTTTATGATTAATTGTACTGCTACTTTTAAAATAAAACTACTTAAATTTACTCCACAGCGAATTTTAGCTTTATTTAATTTTAATTAATTTGCTGTCGATGCTGCACATTTTGTGATTACTTCTTGATATAACGTGTATACAAGATTTAAAAAAAAAAGTTCAAGTCTACTTTAGAGCGGAAAATTTTAGATACGGACTACTGCTTAACAGTCTCGCTATAAATAAATTTATACTCTATTCATTCCTTTATTTATCCGTCGGTTTAAACTTCCGAAGCGATAAAGGTTATTACACGTTAAACTAATATATTTATATCATACATTTGTAAATTTATCGAGTCGTGCGAAGAAGTTGTGCTTACCTGAAATGTTAGCCGTATGCGTGTGTTCTCCTTGTGACTTAAGTGGATGTATCCAGAAGTCGTTTATGGACCAACGCTTGTGAAGCTCGTCGCAAGTCCAAGCAGCAGCAGGAGCAGTGGTGGAGCGTGTTTGCCCTGTCCGTTTGTGCCGTTCGAATGCCGCGCGTATATTCGACACACGCGAGCGACGGGTCCGGCGATACCTGTGGCGGCGGCGGCGGCAGTTTTTGCCAATTGGCTGCGGCGGTATTGGTGGGCGGTGAAGGGACCCGGTGAGTGGTGTCGAGAGGAGTACGGCCGCGCGCGCGTTTCACCTCGGGGCGTGCGCCGCCCCCGTCGCGCCGCTCAGTTAGTGTTCGCGTACCGCCGGCGCCCGTACGACACGACCGCCGTCCGATGTTTACCCATTAACGGCAGTGGTGGCGCGATTTATTCGTGAAAATAATTATATTGATTATAATCTATTTGATTGTTGTTTGTTTATTCGTTAATTCGTTTAATTATTTATAAATTTTTTTCGTGTTATCACGTGCGATTCGACGTTGTTTCATTGCTGCTGCTATATCATGCGCTTGGGGGTGTGTGTCGACGAACCGACAGAAATCGGATATCTGATATAATTACCCATCACTTATTTTTCGTCCGTGGCTCTGCCCGGACAACATAATGATGATATACGGGTTCATAGGTTAAGATACTGACCCCGTTTACTAGACTATAGTATTAACTGTGTTTTTGGGGTTATTTACAAAATATCTTATATTTGTATGGTTTGCCATTACCAATCGTGTGTCCAAATGTGACCACGGAGGACAATGTCTTAACAGTTGTATTTTACAGGCTGACGATGTGCTCGAGCAGCTCTTGGCGAGCACTGGTTATCACAGTGTTAGCCTGTTCAGCAGTCTGCGCGTTTGCTTCTGGTACGTACCTTTATATTGTATTTTATCTATCTAGGTTATTATGACGACAACAATCATCTCATTAAAAACAAACAGTAATTATGTATATTTGGTTTTTGTGTGGGTGTGCTCAAGATTCTACTTTTTTTTATTGAAGTGTGAAGTTCGTTTGATTTTTATTGTAAGAAGAAAATTGCTATAATTATTTTTAATTTGCACCCAATCAGGTGCACTTGTTTATAACAGTAGCTGTTGGAGGTATTAGCATAAAATTTAATTTTCTGAGTCCGACGCCAGTCGTAATAATTTTCTCTTCAATTCTCATTCTATGGGTGTTGCCATGAAATTCTAAAAACGTCACTTGTTTCTGCCTTAACCAAGGAGTGGGGTCTAAAGTTTTCAAAATATCCTCGGGCACTGGTTAATAACTTTTTAATGAATGACCGCATGTCACCAATCTCCCAAAAACAATAAGGCGGTAATTAAAACCAGTGGGTCTCTATACTTTTTTTACATCTTTTTTAATGTACATTTTTAAGATTTAACAAGAAATTAAATTGTATAGTACAATATATAATAAAACTATTTTTGAATAATTTTAAATCTAATTTAATGTGTACAATTAATTTAAGAATAAAAAAAAAGTGATAAAAGTCGTTGATACATAATTTACTAAAAATTAACGTCATGTAAATACCACGTAAGGTTTAATGTAAAATATCGATAGTGAGTTTATATAAATTCATATAATTAAGTGTAATACGTGGATGAGTCTAACTAAACATTTTTTGCATATAGTTTGAAGAAATATATTTTTAGGAATAACTAATTATTTAATGTTTTATAAAATAAATAAATTATCTTTTGCTAATTTATTTTTTTGATTTTTTACTGCATAATAATTAATACATGTATTTCGTTTGTTATTAAAAATATTATTAATATTATTTATTAAATTTGAACAGAAATAATATGTATTTTAAGTATTACGAAAAATATATTATACTTTGATATTGGATTTTTTACTTACTACAATTAAATAATGGTTTAAAAGTGTTAGCCTTTTAAGGGGGAGAAAACTTGCTAGGAAATACCTACTGTTGGTTAAAAAGGCACTGATGCAGCAATTTATTAAATCCCTAACCATAATACTGTACAAGGGTTTTGTCACTGGACAGCTTCCCTCATACTAATTATCATGTAAACTTTCTCACCGTTGTAATATTCTTGCTTATTTTACATATGTTACAGATTGTCAATTTTTTATTCTGATAAAAAAAAGTGTGGACCCTAAAATATAATATTATTTAATTCTTAGTTGAATATGACTTATGTCTTTTAAGGAAATAAAAACAATAAAATAATGTTTAAATTAGATCTATCTCATGAATAGTTTTCCAAAACATTTATATTTAAGTACTGATTATATATCAAGGAACTGTTTTTTGTCAAGATAGTTTTGTTCAAGGTTGATATAATTTTTATGTCCATAATATAGTACACAGTTTAAATTACTTATTTTGGAGTTTAATAGATTAAATTTTTAGTCTTTTGAATTGAATTCAGTTTTTAATAAAATTATAGAATTTATGTAGTTAAGAGCAATGACCTAGTGAAAAATTATTATAATTTTTGAATAATTGCAATTGCTATAAAAAAATTAAAAGAATTTGAATTAAAATTCGCGTATTAATTTTACTAATCAAAGTTTTACGTTTTTACGATTTTAGCTAAATTTTTTTTTTTTTTTTTGATACATTTTTCCCCATTTTTGAATAAAATTGTATATATAGTATATTGTATATATGTATATATACTTTATACCTGTAAAATAATGGAAAATGTATTTTAAATTATATCTATTTTAATGATCATATAAATAACCTTCATTGACTATTTTAATTTTATACATTTTTAGCAACATATATTTCTGGGATTTTAAGTGTGTCCACACAGTGGAAGGAAACTACTTTTACCGCGTCAAAAATAAATTTGATAGTATTTTAATGTGACAAACATTTTTTCTCTTCAATATTCTTTAATTAACAAATTATAGAGATAATTATTCTATTAAAAACATATTAAACCATAATTATTGACTACAATATTATATAAATAATTAAAGTTGATTTTTTAACAACTTTGGAGAAAATATTTTTAAAACTATTAAAGAAGATCATGATTGAAAAAGATAACTTATATACTAATATATCAAGTTTAAGTAATTATTAAAAAGAATTAACATTTAAGGTTGATACCCAAAAGCATAAATCTTTAATGATGTGTTATATTTTATAATAAAACTATAATAAGATATTAATTATTTAATCTTCATTTTTACAATAAAACTATTCTATATCAGACTCGCTATTTTTTGTAGATATTTGAGAATCTTCTTCTGTTTATTCATAATTTATAATTAATACATTTTTTACTTCGTAGTTAATTCTGTAGTAGGTGATTTTAGAATTTTTTTCTTAGAAGAAATCACTGGATCTGAACTTATTTATATTGCATGCGTTAAATCGGTATTTGTACTTATTCTTGACATTTTGCGAGTATTATTTTCCCTAAAATTTGAATAATCTTTATTACGTGATTCTTGCGCTTCTTCCGATAGTTGTTCTATTGGAAGAAATGCATATTGTATGTCTATGGACCCACACATCAACATTTTGTGCATACTAGGAGGCATGCGATACCAATTGTATAATTTAATGTATAATTCAGCTGTTTCTTTACAATACTGACCAAATATTTCTAGATTGATTTCATATCAACTTGACATTGAAATTAATATATTTCCTAGTTTCATAATTATATTTAAATTTACCCTCGTTATTTTTGCCAATTTTTCTGCATTTTTAAAAAATCTTGCCACATTCCCTGTATTAGAAATACCTCGACCTTGCACTATTTGATCAATTTTCAACCACATTTCATTCCAAAATACATGTTGAATATTTTTCTTTTGCTTCTTTTAATTTGTTTTTTTGTTTATTTGTTATGTGAGAAGTTGACTGGTGAATATTTAATTTGTACGAAATATTTAAAATACATTAAAAAAAATTAATCCACGCGTGCAAAGTTGAAAGCCTATATTTTAGATTATCCTCACTTATTGTGAATTTCTGTATATTTTTCAAACCATTTATATTTTTTTGGTCCACAGTTACAAATAAAACATCTTTGACTGGAAGTATCAGTAATGTTATTTATCACAATTTCAATTGGGATTAATGATTTTATTTATTTTTCAATTGCCTTCACTTCTTCACGAGTATTATTTTTTGTTTTTTTTTTTGTATAAAAATTTAATTGGTCTACAGTTACGTGTCGAAGATGGTGTTTGATTTTTCCAAAGTATATCATTAGTGTAATCAGACGCTGTAAATGTCAACCGCAATGAAACCAAAGAAAATAAAAACACATTTGCATCAGTATATTCTATTTTTTGTTCATTAAATTCTTCTAAGTCATCATCATGATTACTATTTAAATTTTGATCATTTTATATCAAGTGAGTATTTTGGATAAATCCTTGGTGGTATTCAGTTTGACCCGAATTACTATCATACCGCCATTTAAACCCAGTCTTAACATATTTTTCGAAAAAATTTAAATTTTCAGTTAAATCGAAAACTTGAAAAATTCTTCTGTGTGATCCAATAAATTTTGGAGAGGAATAAATGCACCATATTCATATATTTTTAAACTTTCGGGATAATATAGTTTTTTTGTGTCTCGTATGCGGTCATATGAAGGATACACATTGACTCCATGTTTTTTTAAACCTAATCGAGTTTGATGATAAACGTTTTTTGTTACGCAACAATTTACCATATGAGCTAGAGTTTCATCTACTGTATATGGTGTTATATTTTTCCCCTTCAACCTTTCACAAAAAGATTTCCTAATATTTACAGGATGACTGGGAGAATATTCTGTTGACTGTTTTAATAAATCAGCTGCTGCGTGTTTACCTTATTTAAAAAGTGATACTGTTATAGTCGGTAATAATCTTTCTGGCGATGTTGTGTTCACTAACGATTTTACTTTTCGTATTTTAGATCTTTCAGATACATCATAAAATAGTTTTGATGGACGACTGCGTTTATCAACTGTTTTATTTTCATTTTGTTGCAAAATAAATTCGGTATCTAACCACCCCTCGGTTTTAGAAATAAATTTAGTTGCAGTACGATTTACGGCTGACCACTTGCCATTTAACGCAGTTACAAATCCTGAAATTTTACATTTCAATTCATTTTCTTATTTCTCATAAATAGAATGATTTATTTTTTTTTTGCCATATAATTATTTAAAAATAAACGGGTATACACAGAGCACGGATTTAATTGTCGTTGGAATTTTCTGAGGGCATTGAATAAATCATGGTATGTAATATATGTATTATCTACAAAAAAAAAAAAAAAAAAAAAAAAATAAAAAAATAGAAATTAAATGGGCAACTTTGGGCAGACCATATTTTAGAATTTACTTAATAGTATGTTTACTATAATATTTTAATAAAATTCGGGACTCTATTATGTGCTTTTTTTTCATATCTCTATAGTTGTTAAATTATGATATATTTTTATTATTTTGTTATTAAAGTTTTAACAATTTATTGTTGATTGGAGAGTTAATTAAATTATTAATAATTATTACATACCTCGTTTAGAAGTTTCCATAGTATAAAGTAAATTATCAAAAAAAAACTAAATAATATAATGTTTTATTAAACTTATAACAAATATTTATTGTGGACGTGCGTACCGTCAAGAAAGTCGCTGTGAAATGAAAATATCGCACTAATTGAACTTTTAATGCTATTGATAAAACGTAATAAAAATTAAATAAGCATTCAAAACAAAATTGACAACTCATTATGAAGATTTTTGTACTGCATTTTTATCTAAATTTTGATAGTTTTAATTTTCTTTTTGTCACGGTAAAAATATAATTCGTCTCACTATGTGCCATTGAAATCTACTTTCCTTTAAATAGCGGCCAGGTCA